TTTCCTATTTTATCTGTATAGAGCTTGTTTGTACAAAGTTATTTGCTTATTGTCTCCCCCATTAGACTGTAAGCTCCTTTAGGGCAGGAACTGTCTTTTTTATCCACTGTGCTTGGCATACTAGGCACTTAATGTTTACTGACTGACTGACACACACAGAATATGTGCCTCTCCAATACTTTTTTCTCCTTCCTTGATATCCTTCCATTAGTCTTACTAGACCTTAACATACTCCCCAATCCCTGGTACCATGACCCCACATATACATATATACACACACTTTAGTCCTGAAGTCCTCAGTGAAGACAATCCCCTGAGCATCAGAGTCAAAGCCAAGTTGAATGACTCTAATCTTCCCTTGTTCCCGAAGTTCTCTCTGTTCCAGAAGAGATGGAAAATGAGAGGTATCAAGATAGGAACTATTGTTATGCTTGGGGAGAGTGGGAATAGGTTAATATGGGGGAAGAATAGATTCTAGGATGATAAAATTGGGGGAAGTGGGGAAGGATGGCTCTTTTCTGATAGGGCTCTCAGTATAGGAAAAATCTTCCCATTTGTGTAGGCTTGTGGAAACTAGAAGTAGCTAACAGCTGGTTTGACAGTCAAAATCGGTCTCCCTTCATCAACTATCCATACATCTCTCCCATTAGTCCACTCAACACCTCTTACTGGCTGGCTGCCTATATGACATCACCAAATCCCTTACACAAATTGCCTGTTCTGCTGTTTCTCTCACCAGCTATCTTTCTATTTGCTAGCTGTTTCCCACCCACCCTCCAATTCAGCCTTCCCATTGCTTCTGCTCCCCTTTCACAAGCTACTGGTGCTTGGGTCCCTGAGTCCCCTTCACCAGCTGCCCAGCCTCTGACCCATTCATTGGCCCACCTCACCAACTGCCTGGCCCCTGGTCCCTGATCTCTTGGCCCCCTCACCTGCTGCTTTTGGCCCCTTGGTTCTTCTTACCAGCTGTCAGGCCCTTGGTCCCATTCACCATCTGCCTATCTCTTGGCTCCTTAGTGCCCCTCAGCAGCTGCCTGGCTCTTGGTTCCCCTTTGTAGATGCTCAATCCCTGGGCCCTTGGTCCCCTCTGACCAGCTGTGTGGCCCTAGTCCCCTGGTCCCACACCAGCTGCCCAGCCCTTGGTCTCCCCACTAGCAGCCCATCCCTGGCTCCCTGCTTCCCTTCACCAGCTGCGCAGCCCGTCACGCCCTGGTCCAGACTGCCCGGGGTCCCTCTCACCCACCCCATGCCCTCTGCCCCTCTCCCCTCACCAGCTGCCCAGCCCTTGGCCCCTTGATCCCTCTCATCAGTGCCCAGCCCTTGGTTCCCACACTAGCAGCCCATCCCCGGCTCCTTGCTTCCCTTCACCAGCTGCCCATCCCTTGGTGCCCCCACTAGCAGCCCATCCCTGGCTCCCTGCTTCCCTTCACCAGCTGCGCAGCCCGTCACGCCCTGGTCCAGACTGCCCGGGGTCCCTCTCACCCGCCCCCTGCCCCCTGCCCCTCACCAGTTGCCTGTCGGCCGCGGTCCGGTCGGGCACGAGGCTGTACACCTGGCTCTTGAGGGCGACGGGAGGCAGCGCGTCCTGGAAGAGGCGCCGGGGGAACAGCTCGCCCAGCTCCCGCAGAGCCCTGAGCACCGACCCTGGGGAAGGGGCTTCGTCAGGGCCTCGGACCCTCCTCTCTCCGGGAGCCAGCCCTGAGGGCCGTCCCGGGGCTCCCCCATAGCTCCCCCTCGTTCCCCTCCCGGGTTACCTGACTCGCCCCCCGGGGGCTCCTCTCCGGACCATCCCGGTCCTCGTTGTCTCTTAGCCCCGAAGGTTTCAGGGACGAGCCGGGGACGCTTCCGGCTCATGGCCTGGGATTTCTGACCCCTTGAGGGTTGGTGAGGACGGAGAGAGAGGGGAGGGGCCCGCAACCAGAGCCTGGGGGGTGGGGATGGGGTCTGGATTTGGGGCGTCGGTGCAAACGATGGAGCGCTCCCCGGGCCGGCGACTGGGGGGGCGGGCCCAGGCCCGGCACGGTCGCGGGGCGATGACGTCAAGGCCCGAGCACTGTGGCCGGGATGGGGACATGCCCGGCGAGATGACGCGAGCCCCGCGCTATGCCGGGACGGAGCGGAGACGTGGAGGGACCTCGTGCTAAGTGGACATTCCAACTCCTGCTCCTCGAGTAAGAACTGCACCCATCCCCACCCTGACAGAGGCCCTGGGCAAGTCTGTGGCTGTCGCTTCCTGATTGTGTCATGCATAGATGAAGACAAGTCACATTCCCCACTTTCGGCGCTTCCGGTACTACCATGATGTCACATAAACCCATGGGGCTGGGGGAGGGAGAGAGAGGAGCGATCCAATCCCCCCGCCCCCGCCCTGAGCAGAAGCTTGGCCTCACCAAGCCCCTTCAACAACTACATGGAAGGAAACATGGGCGGGGGTCGGGAGAAGGGAGAGCACAGGTCAGAAGCAGAGGAGGGCAGAAATCAGAATGGGGACTCCAGAGGTGAGGAGCGGGGGGGGGGTGGTGGTGCAGAAATCAGAATAGGGAACCCCAGAAGTCCAGATGGGCCAGGAACTCCTTCAGGCTCCCCGAGATGGAGAGGTAAGTTGGGGCGAAGCTGAAGATGGAGGTAGGAAAGGGGAGAAGGTAGAGGGGAGGAGGGAAGAAAATGACCCCCGGGACGTCTGCGAAGGAGCTCCCCTCCCCTTCACCATCCTTGGGTGTCCAGGCGCTAAGCGAGGGGTGTCTGCTCCCTCACCCAGACTTGGGGGACGGGGGGTTCTCGTCTTTGCTCCCGTAGAAGCCTATGGAGCCCCAGGGTGCCAAGCGAGGAGCCGGGGAAATGAAAGATGGGGCGACAGGGGGCCCTCCCAAATGGACCCGCCCGGCCCCTTCGCTGCCCACCGATGCCTCCCTCTACGCGGGCCCCTTCCCCTTCTATCGCCGCCCCTCCGAGCTGGGCTGCTTCTCCCTGGACTCCGAGCGCCGCTACCACGGGGACTCCCGCGCTCTGCGTTACTTTGCTCCTCCCCCAGCCCACGGTTCTGCCCCTGATTTCGACCTCCGGGAAGGCTACCCTGAGCGCTACCGGCCCCGGGACGAGGAGACCCAGGAGGGGCTGGATCACCTGCTTCGATGGCTCCTGGAGCACCGAGGCCAGTTAGAGGGGTGAGTGCCCAGAGACCGGCTCTGCCTGGGAAATGTACTAAGCCTGGGTTGTCATCCTTAGGCTGGTTACTTTGGGTGAGTTACATGACTCTCCAGGTTGTAGTTAGTTGCTTCGTTTGTAAAATGAGGGGTTTGAAACCAGATGCTGTCCAAGGTCCCAAAGAAATCGAATAGTCAAAAGATAGAGGCTGAAAATGATAAGAAGTCCAGAATATACACTCTCTGTCTCATAGTTCTTTCAGCCTTAGCCTTCCTGCTGCTGAGACTTAAGTTCCTCAGAATTCCCTCCTTTAGCCATATTTTTTGGAGGATAACTGAATCTTGACTCTTTTTGGATGAATCTGTCCTCCCCTCAAGGCCAGTTTTCCCCCTAACAAGTATGTCTCTTCTCTCATAGGGGCCCAGGCTGGTTGGCAGGGGCTGTGGTGACATGGCGAGGGCATTTGACAAAGCTGTTGACAACACCCTATGAACTTCGGGAAGGTTGGCAGCTTGCAGCTTCACGGCTACAGGGCACCCTTTACCTGAGTGAAGTGGAAACACCTGCTGCTAGAGCGCAGCGACTTGCTCATCCTCCATTCCTCCGGGAACTCATGTACATGGGGTACAAGTTTGAACAGTACATGTGTGCAGGTGAGAGCCTTGATATGGATTTAAAATGTCAGCATAGCACTTTATAGTTTACAAAGTATTTTCTCATCTCTGATCTCCAACCTTTTCTCCTATGGCTCTTCTTCTAACTCCCTCTTTTTCCTCCTACAGACACTCCTGGGGGCTCTCCGGACCCTTCGGGAGAGGTCAACACTAATGTGGCATTCTGCTCAGTGTTACGAAGTCAATTAGGAACCCATCCCCTGCTCTTCTCTGGGGAGGTGGACTGCACAGACCCTAAAGCCCCATCCACACAGCCACCTGCCTGCTATGTGGAGCTCAAGACCTCAAAAGAAATGCACAGCCCTGGTCAGTGGAGGAGTTTCTATCGGTAAGATTAATGCGGCTGAACTGAGGATACAAAAACAAAATAAAGTTAGGGGACCAAATACTTGGGTCCCTGTTTGCTTGGGTCTCTAGTGATCTTTTATCTCATGCTTCACAGACACAAGCTCTTGAAGTGGTGGGCTCAGTCATTCTTGCCTGGGGTTCCACGTGTGGTTGCTGGCTTCCGAGATCCTGAAGGTTCTGTCCGATCACTCAGAACCTTTCCCACCATGGAGATGTTTGAGCTCATCAGGGTAATAATAGATAATAACCTCATACTTTCACACCTCCACTCTTTCCAGAGTTCTACACTGGGATCCTTTTCCTTATCTTCCATTCCTTGGAAATCCTAGATCCTCTAGTCTCCCACTGTGCTTCCATCCACTTATTTCTGTCCTCAGGCTGACCGAGAAGGCTGGAATCCATCCGTATGTATGAACTTCTGTGCTGCTTTCCTTAGTTTTGCCCAAAGCACAGTCACTCAAGATGACCCCAGGTGAGGAACTCATGTCTAGTTTTACTTCTCTCAAGACCCAGGCCTGTGAATGCCCAGTCCTTACTTGTCTCTCTTGCTCTCACTGCCAGGCTTGTTCACCTCTTCTCCTGGGAGCCAGGTGGCCCTGTTACTGTGTCTATTCATCATGATGCTCCCTATGCCTTTCTGCCTACCTGGTATGTGGATGCCGTGACCCAGGACTTCCCTTCACCTGCTAAGACACCCTGCCCAGGGAACTAATTTCTCCAGAGGACTGATCAAGAGGGGGCTAGTCCCTCCTTTCTACACATACAGTAAAGGCATTTTTCACTATCTTGTCCTCATTTTTGTCCTCCCTCCGTCTTAGTTAACTCATTAAAGTAATACTCTATACCCAAGCTCACATACATTAGCATGATTTGCTGCTTTATTATTTTTTTAAAAGAAACTGTTTCCTTCATGACCTGTTCTTTGGCAGAGGGTCATGGAGAAACCAACAGGGTAGGAGCTACAGAAGCATCACTGGGTGTAGAGGCTGGCAGCAAAGACTATGTCACGACGGAGCATTGTGGCAGCTGCCTCCATCTTAGCACCCAGGACAGGTTCTCCCACCAGCCGGGCAGCCCCTCGCAATGAACGACACATCTCTGCCAAACGTTGGATACATCTGACAATCAGGCCCTCTGGGGTCCCTGACAGCCCTGCCAGCTCAGAGAAAGGCTACAAAGAAAGGAAAGGAGATGAGCTTCTGGCTCTCCCAGAGATTCAGATGTTCAAACCTATGGTTACTTTGCTCTCCTCCTACCCTAAGGAACTCACCATTCCTCGTGCCCACTCATACACAACTTCTACCAGCCCAAAGTGTAGTTCTCCCACAAACTCTTCCACAGTCTGGTTCAGGCCACAGGACACCTGAACCTCGCCAATCCGTCGGGCCACATCCTTTACACGCTCTATGCCCTGGAAGGGTTGAAGAAAGGGTAAATAGGCAAAGCCATTAGCCAGATGCTGAGGGAAAGCAGAAAAAGCATCTGTGGCTTAAAGAAAAGAGAACCCAGTCTGATAATGGAAGTGTGTTAGAAGGACAGAGGTGGATTTCATCAGCAAAGTCTTCTTGGAGATGTGTGAAGCTATACTGGAAGGAAGGGAAATGATGGTCCAGGATTCCCAGGGGAAATCCAGAGGCCTATGTGAATGAAGGAGGGGGGATGGGAGTGATGGTGAGGGGTGTGTTCCTCACCTGTTTAAGAGTGCTTGGCAACTGGTCTCCAGGATCTCCAGGACTTTGGCAGACAAGGCCAGATAGTAGAGCAGCAATCTCCTCTGGCCGAAGGGCGCTCAGCGCATTGTCAAACATGAGCTCTGTCAGAAGCAGTTCATGACTACTCATGGCACATGCCACCCTCCCTGCCAACTTCACAGTCCCTGCCCCATCCACATAGCCCAATGTCCGAAGAATCTGGATGAGGAAGAGGATGATATTGAAAGAAGAGCACAAAATTCAGTTATCTGGCTATTCTAGCCGCCTCCCTGAACCCCATAGCCTCACGGCACCAGGCATCTAGCTCCTTCCCACCTCCACTCGCTGATGATACTCTGGCAGCAGAAGCAGTGACTGGTCTGAGAGTAGAAACCGTAATCTCTCCATCTCCTTCTGGATCTGAGCACGTTCCCGCAGCCTCAGGTACTAGAGAAAGAAGATGCAAGGAGAGGAAGGAGTAACATTGGTTCCTTCTACCCTTTCCAACTTAGGGGGAAGAGTTGAAGAACAGATTGTGTCCTTTTCTCTCCTATCACGCCATCCCTACATATTAGCAAAAATATCAGAGAAAGAAACCACCTCCTATGGGAAGCCAGGTACTGGGTGGTCTCACCTGGGCTGGAAACCTGGGACTGTGTACACACTGGGCACTTCGAATCAATTCCTCTAGCTTCCGAGCACGAAGCCCACCCTCTACCATTGACACCTCCTTCAACTGAAGGTCATTGACTGGATCCAGGGCTGGGGGCCCTGCTGGGTGTGCCTGAGCCAAGCGGAGCATCTCTTGAACAGCAGAGGACACAGCTGGAGAAGGAGGGTCCTTCCTAAGAGAAAAAAATGAGAAACCTTTTAACCTCCTTTTCCCAGAGTTGGAGAGCCTTCACACACCATTCTCCACCCTATAATCATTTCTCCTCAAGGTGATAAAGTTTTCTCCCTGATTCATCAAAGTGCCCCTTCTCACCCAAAGCTACTAACTTGAATCTTGGCTGCTGCCTTTTGCTAAAATCCTCCAAGATTCGCTCCCCATTCACCCGTAGCATCTTTGCTGTGATGGCAGTGATGTCACCTGGCTGAAGCTTGGCCACAGTATGATCACAAGGCCCTGTAGGACAGAACAGCAGAATCAAGTTCCTGTCCTGGGACCCAGGCATTCTGTCCTTCCTACCCCATCCCTGACCCAAGTGTCTGCCCCACTTCCCACCCAGCTCTTACCTTCAGGTAGGAACAGCTTGTGACCCACCAGATCATCAGGATAGGGGACATCAAGACAGCTGGAACTGCCAGGCAGTGGCCCCTCAAGGGGCTGCTTCTCACACAGAATCAAAGTTGTAAAGACTCGGTTTGTGGTGTCTGAGGAGACCTGGGAGACAGACAAGCAGTGTTACTGAGGTCATATCCATCTTCCCCTAGACTAGCCTAACCTGGACAAGAGATATGGTTCCTATCCTTAAGGAATTCCCTATCTAAGGGTGATGAAGGAGACCCTGCCCTCAGAATACAAACCCAGGACACAGTAAACAATGCAAATGATTATCATTGCACATGTTAAGCCAGGATAGTGAGGGAAGGAAAGTATGGGATAGTGTTTGAAATGGAGGAAGGACATGGATGAGGGCCTGAAGGGATCTGAAGGTGAAAGTCACCAACCCTCCCCTGCCTCCAAAAAAAAAAAAAAACCAAACCAACAATATATCAGTGTAATTGACTTTAAGTTAGAAAACAAAGGAAGAAATTTATCAATCTCTCAATCTAGGTGTCCCCAGACCACTTCCCCTCACCTGCAAGATCACTCCTAGTGCATTTCGATGTTCCTGATTCTTAACAACCACCACTCTTCCCACTGACAAAGATTTCAGCCCATTCACTGATTCCATGATCCGTCGCTGGGAAGAGATGTTAAGACGTCAGAGGAGGGGCTGAAAAATAAACTCAGGAGTGTTTTTTCATTATCCTGGGTCACTTCCCTGGTATGCTGATAGCAGCATTCTCTCTGTCCCCATCCCTACCCTCACCATGTCCCCATTTCCCTTTTCTTCCATCACCTGGATCAGGCCCCGAGTCTCTGTCAGCTCCTCCCCCCAGCTGTAATAATCAGGAAGATCAACCAGCTGACCCGATGTGTCCGGCTCTTCCAGGTCCCCAAGTCTTTTTGTCAGTTCTGCCAAAGTCTGCTCATGGGCCTGTAAGGGTGGAGAGAAGACAGGGACTAGGATGAAGCTTCAGGAAGTTTAAGGGCCTGATCTGTGATCACCAGGCTCTGGACCCCTCCAACTCTCACGTGTGTTTTTTTTAAGGATCTGATCTAGTCCTCCAACTCCCTGGCTCTTCCAGAGACCCAGACATGTCCCCCAAACACCCACCAACACACAAATGTGTGCACAACGTGCATGCATATACACCTTGCTGTCCTTTCTTGAAGGGAACTCAGAAAAACTTCTCTTCATCATATCTTCCACTCTGAGTGCATCGACCCGAAGCAAGTTAAGGATCATTGTATATGTGAGGCGGAATTGGGACTGTAGCTGGGAAGGCTTCCCCTGGGGATCAGAGGCAGGGATCAGAGTGCTGGAAGAAGGAAATGGGAAGGATTCTTCCATTCCCCTCTCCAGAATCAAGGGTATTCCCTCTGATTACCTGAACTGACTGCACCCTTCTCACTGAGAGGTAAAGACCTGGATTCTAATTCCAGCTCTAACAGCTGTGCAAACTTAGGCAAATCACTTCCTTCTCTGGGCCTCAGTTTCTTCATCTAGAACAGGGGTGGGAAACCTTCGGCCGAGAGGGCCACATGTTGCCTCAGGGTTGCAGGTTCCCCACTCCTGATCTAGAACATGAAGGTGTTGAACTAGATGATCTAAAGTCCCTTCCAGCTTTGACTTTCTATAATGGAAACACCCAAAATGTTATAAGAAATGAGGTAGAGGGGGCAGCTAGGTGGCGCAGTGGATAGAGCTCCAGCCTTGGAGTCAGGAGGACCTGAGTTCAAATCCAGCCTCAAATACTTGACACCTACTAGCTGTGTGACCCTGGGCAAGTCACTTAACCCTGACTGCCTCACCAAAAAGCAAAAACAAAACAAAAAAAGAAAAAAAAAGGAAAGAAATGAGGTAGACATCCCTGAGATGTTGCCTTATAAAAGATGAGAGAAGAAAAGGGAAGGTTAGAAGAGATAAAAAAAAGTTATATGGGGAAAGAGAGAGAAAAGAGAATTACATGGGAATCACAGCATCAGACCTACAAGTCAAAGTAATTATCTGGTCTAACCTTCCCTGCCTTCCTGAGGTGATAGGAAGCTACTCCCCCATGCCCCTCCCCAGGCTAACTCACCAACATCATCCGATGCAGATCAGCCATCTCAGGCACACGTCCCTTACAGAGTAAGATGACCGTGCCTGTAGGGTCCAGGCCACGACGCCCTGCCCGCCCTGCCATCTGTACATATTCCCCAGGGAGCAAGTCACGAAAAGTTGCACCATCATGTTTGCGCATAGAGTCAAATACCACAGTCCGTGCTGGCATGTTCACACCCATAGCAAAGGTCTCTGTAGCAAACAGGACCTGGGGGAAAAGGATTCAGCAATTAAGAGAAGCTCTCTCTCCTGGCCTCCAAAGACACCAAATCTGACTTTTCTAAGACTGGGCTCTTTCTCAGGATTAAACATATCCCCTTCTACTCAAGAAGCTTCCACTATCCTACCTTGACCAAACCACGACTGAAGAGCATTTCCACAATCTCCTTGAGAATGGGCAAAATACCGCTGTGGTGGACACCTAGACCCCGGCGAAGGAGCTCTGACATGTGCAGTACCTTTGAGGCAATGGTGAGGAAGCAAAATTTGGGTGTCACCATAGAGTCACAAGGTGCCCAAAGCCTAATTTAGCTTTTATCTCCCATAGACCTCCAACCTTCCCTCCCTGCAGGCCCCATATACCTGAGGTAGCTGGCGGTCAGAGCCTCGAAGTCGGGCAAGGCAGCGCTGCAGGAAAAGGTGGATCTCACTCTTCTCAGAGCCAGTGGTAAGGTCGAGAGAGCTGAGGCCTGATGCCTGCTCATCGCAGCGCCCCCGGG